AATAATAATAATAATTACGCATATCCGCGCTCTACAGCATGCTCTTTGCGCTTTACAATATTATTACGAGGGGCATACTAGAAGTTTTTTACCTGACCATGAAGGAATAAAGGTAGAAAGCTGAAATTTGGTAGTAAGCTTAGTTTTTCTTTATGTATTCGCCCCCCAGTTTATGCAAGTTCGCCATCTGTGTAGGACCTTGAAAAGACCTTGAGAATAGAGGGCCCTCTCTATGCCAGAAAACCAGCCCTCTACCGCTTCTTTGACCTCATCATCAGTTGTTTTTTTACCCCAAAATTTTATCACAGCCTAGGATGAGCAATCAGTTCCATATTTCCTTTATACGGCATGCATCTCCGTAAAAATATCATGTAGTTGCTTGCCTAGCAAGAACAAATACTTCATTACTGCCCTTCGCTCAATTTTCTCCATTTTTATGCTGAAACTGGAGAACAGCATACCCCCATTCCCTTACAGTGTGCTGTTGGTAAAATCAGTTATTTGAAATTCCCCAAAATTTACAGGCATTCTAGGAAGATGATTGTTGGCTTTCACCCCAAATTTCAGCTTTCTACCTCTATTCCTTCATGGTCACCTAAAAAAACTGTTGGTATGCCCCTCGTATTACGGTACTCCAGTTAACCCAAGAACATTCAGAAACATTATCGGCTTCCCAGGAAGCATTACAGCTTTCAAATAGCGTTGGGTATATTTTTTGTTTGGCATACCTCCGAAGAATTGATGCATCGTACACCCATCACTTCCAGCTGTCGAATGGCATTGATGATGTGAGTGGAGAAATTGGGCGTTGTAGGGAGGTGAGCGAAGGCCACTTTCGGCAAGTGTTTCTCCAATTCACCATTCACGTAAAGATCTGTGGAGTTAAGGGGAAAAACCGTTATGCGCTCTCTCTCTCTCTCTCTCTCTCTCTCTCTCTCTCTCTCTCTCTCTCTCTCTCTCTCTCTCTCTCTTTCCTGTTGAAGAAGCAATGCTTCTATACATATATGCTCTCTCTCTCTCTCTCTCTCCAGTTGAAGAAGCAATGTTTCTATACATATGCGCTCTCTCTCTCTCTCTCTCTCTCTCTCTCTCTC